TGAATTTGCAGGCGGCTTGTGGGCTAATCTTTTCCGCCTATCAGCACGGACAGCAATCGAAGGTCTAGCCCGGGTAAAAGGACGGAATTCGTCGTCACTGTTGATCGCTGTCCCTGAAACATCGAATAGTGGTCAGAAATAGCAATTTGAAAATGCAAGAAAAAAGAAAGATAGGTGACTAACCTTGCTCCAAATCTGCCTCGTAGTCTTCAGGGTCTCCGCCTGAGGCCTCTCCAGCAGAACTAAAGGCCCGGTTCACACATAGTTAATTGATTAATTCAATCAGTTAACTGAACCACTGGCTCTCGACTCCCAACGGAGTCGACGACAAGCTCTCTGCATCACTTTTGCATTGCAACGCCACTTTCTAGTTCTGAGCCCCGATCGCCGGTGAACTAGAAGATCCGAATTCTATCGACTTGAGCTTCTACTGCGTACGAAGCTCCGGCAGCAACTTCGATCGGATCGTCCAAGGGAAGCAGACTCGGCACGAGCACCGAGCGAGGCGTCCTATCGCCACCGAGGAACCCACGTTAAACAAGGAGGGCCTTCCCTCCGCTTCTGTTGTAAACATTTGATTCGTTAGTTTGTAATAAGCTTTCTTATAAATACAAACGAAGTTCCTTGTTTTCGGGAGATCAAAATTTACACCTACAGGCTACCGTCAGCGAGAGGGATCGCTGGCGATGTCGACGGCTAGGCGAGGAGATGGATGTCGAGGGGAAGGAGGTGGCTGACGGTGATGGAGTCGGCGATGGGAGAGCTGAGGGTAGGGATCTCAGGTGGCGACTCGGCTGGGGGAGGATGAACACTTAGTCCTGTTGTATTAGTATAACTGGTACGTTTTATCGTGTAGATAATTATTCCATAATTATTTGATTTTTTAAAATAAATAATTATATATTTTATTAATTATTCTTATTTAATTGTGCAATTTCTTGCATTATTTCTACTATTGTGTATTATCGATTGTAATACTATAACTTGTACATTTTAATGCGTAAATAATTTTCACATGATTATTTATTTTATTTCGTAATTATTGTTATTTTTAATTAATTTTAAAAAAACCCTAATCCCTTATATATATATATATATATATATATATATATAAGGGATTAGGGTTTTTTTAAAATTAATTAAAAATAACAATAATTACGAAATAAAATAAATAATCATGTGAAAATTATTTACGCATTAAAATGTACAAGTTATAGTATTACAATCGATAATACACAATAGTAGAAATAATGCAAGAAATTGCACAATTAAATAAGAATAATTAATAAAATATATAATTATTTATTTTAAAAAATCAAATAATTATGGAATAATTATCTACACGATAAAACGTACCAGTTATACTAATACAACAGATAATATGCAACAGTAGAAGTAATACAACAAATTATACAAATAATACGTAATTAATAATACAATATATTATATGAAAATATACGTAATAATAATAATACCACATTTTCAAAATGATACGTAATAGTATCGGTAACACAACGGATAAATTCCAGAAACTTTTACTGCACAAAATAAATTTATAAATATTTAAATCATTTAAATAAATATAAAACTTAGACTTTAAATTATAGAAAATTGTAGAAATTCAAGAAAAATATAAGTACTCTTTTAAAAATGGTAATTAAATATTTTAAAATACTAAAAAATTATTTTAGCTAGTATCAAAATTCACAGTCCTTACAATTTTATTAGGTAAACTACATATGAGCATGAATATAATGATTAAAATAAGAAATTTGATCAAAAATTTCAGGTTAAAAAGATGATACATTATCAGAAATAATTTTTTTCAAAAAGCAATATCGAATTTTAAAAATACATAAGATGCCAAAAATTCTTAAATATCACTACTTATGATCATAAATTTAGGAATCAATAGATGAAAATTTAGTTGAATTTTTTTGCTTTTGAGGTTTAGAGGATAAAATTTTATTAGAAAATCAAAGAATTAAATATGAAATTTAATCAGAAAATGGAGAAATTTAATATAATTGTTAATCTTTAAAATTAATTTTGATTAAAATAAATATATTTGATAATCAAAATTAGGACGCAATAAACCCAAGACCAGAACAAAAGTAATCATATATACTGAAAATTCAATTATTAAATAGATTTAGAATGGGAAAAAAGAACGGGCTTTTTGGGCAGGAAGAAGAACTAACCGATCGGTTAGCAGGGGCGCCGCTGAGGCGGAACATCCGGTTCCGAAGAATAGGGCCCCCAACTTGGGGGTCCCCAAATCGCGCAACCACCCCTTCGCCGTCCCAGCCGTCCCCAAATCGCGCAAAAAAAAGATCAAGCCATCGTCGGCGGCGGAGCTTCCGATCCTCCCCCTCCCTTTGGTTCTTTTCCCTGGCGCGATCCTCCCTCTTCAGATCTTCGAGTTCCGCTACCGGATCAGGATGCACACCCTCCTCCACTCTGACCTTAGCTTCAGCGTCCTCTTCTCGTCGTCGGAATCCTCCTCCGTCGTCGAGATTGTGAAGAACGAGAAGCTCACCGACAACCGCTTCTTCCTCATCGCCAAGGGGCAGGAGCGCTTCCGCATCAACAAGACCCCAGCCCCTTGGTCTTATCGCCAAGGGGCAGGAGCGCTTCCGCATCAACAAGACCCCAGCCCCTTGGTCTTCTCACCTCTCTGTGGCTCTGACCTCTCAAGGTAACCTTCTATGCCTGCCATGTGTTTGATGAATTGCCTTGGTTTTGTATGTCTTTCATTTTCTTGCATGTCTTTCATTTTCCTTAGTAAAAAGTTACCTCTTTTGATAGCAGTTTTGTAAACATTGTGATAAGTTCCATTACCAGAAAACATGACTAAATACTTTTTGATTGTTGATTTGCTGAGTTTACTAGGATGTGTCTTTGTGGGCATATAAAAAAAGTAGAATTGGTTGGCTGAGGGGGAAAACCTAATTTGTGAAGAATTTAGAAAATAGCAATGCTAATTTGGTGAAAGTAAATAACTTAATGGATGAAATTTTTATGTATTTTTCTTTGTAATTATTATGTTTTTTTTTAAATTTGTGGTGGCTGAAAGATTACCTTGTGGCTGAAAGATTACCTTAATGGATGAAAGATTTTGTTTCCAACTGTATGGTCGATTAGGTCATTGAGAGAAACGTCGAAGAGTGATGGGAAGGCAGCTAAAAAACTCAGTAAGCTTGTCGGACATGGCAAGATTATTAGTAAGATGTTGATTTTGTGTATTTTTTTTACTATCAATATTTTGCACGTAATATGTTTTGCATAGAACCATTGTTATGTCTTAATGTTTATTACTATCAATATTTTGCACGTAATATGTTTTGCATAGAACCATTGTTATGTCTTAATGTTTATTTTAATTCTAGATATAAAAAATTCAATATGTTTTGCATAGAACCATTGTTATGTCTTAATGTTTATTTTAATTCTAGATATAAAAAATTCTTTTCATGGTTAGTACTACATATAAAAATAATTATTAGTTTCTTCTGAAGATTAATTAAGTGGCCCCGATTAAAATTTAGAACCGGGCCCCCAAATTGTCAGCCACGCCTCTGTCGGTTAGCAAGCAAGCATGGAATAATTAAGTATAAATCAAGACAAAGTTGCTATTAGGTCATTTGATTCAAATAAATTGATTCGCAAATTAGCTTTTTTATATTAAGGAAGAAGAACTAATCGTCATCGTCGCCGTTGTTTCCTAACGCAACGGTTCTCCTCACTATCAGGACGGTTATCCTTCATCTTTGTTCCTAAATCACCGACGACTATTTGAGAAGGGAGGCCGTTGGATCTGAGTCTGCCATTAGAGATCGAGATTGAGTTGTAGGGTTAGAGAACATGGAGTTTTGTTTTCAAAATTTTAGCGGTTTTTAATAAAAAGGAATGTGGGTTTTGCAAATAGTTGGAAAGTGTGGAAAGTCTTGAGAGAGATGAGGGAGAACGTGGGTTTGTCAGCGGTGGGGAAGTGTGGAAAGTCCAGAGATAGCAGAGAAAATTTTAAAATAAGATGAGGTGGAAATTTTTTGAACAAATTGATTGGCCCAGTATAGAAGTGTGGAAATGTTTTTTTATTGTTCTCTTCTAGTTAGGACATGTTTGGTTATTTCCTAAAAAACCAAAAAATAGAAATGAAAACCAAGAAATCTCAAAAAGTACAATTTCACACATTTCCATCCCTAAAACTCACCCACAACATTTAATAAAATATTATTTTTATCCAACAACTCATCTACCACATCTAATAAAATATTATTTTCATCCAACAACTCATCCATCACATCCACCACATCTAATAAAATATTATTTTCATCCACAACATCACTCAACTCATCTCATCTCATATTTAAAAATCACTCACATCATCCAATAAGATTGTGACAACCCATCTCATCTCATTAACATTTTATTTCTTTGTTTTCCTCCCAAAAAGCTAGGAAAACAATTTTCTTAAGTGTGGGTCACATCATCCAATAATATAATGACAACTCATCTCATTTCATCTATTTTCTTATTTTAAGAAATAACCAAACAAAAGAAAACAACCTATTGCAAGAAATATGTTTCTTATAATTCATTTCCTTATTTTTTCCGCCAACCAAACAACATCAAAATAAGTTTTCTTAAAAAATCACTCACATCATCCTATAATAAGGTGACAACTCATCTCATCTCATCTCCATTTTTTTGATTTCCTTCTTTTTTTAGCCAACCAAACAATCCCAAAACCTATTTTTCTTAGAAATATGTTTCATTTTCTTTGATTTTTCTCTTTTTTAGGCAAACCAACAGCCCCTTAAAAGAAGTAGTTGATAATTAATTAATTAATTAATTAATAAAACAGGCCCTTTGTTTTGGTCCTATGACCCGGGTCTACACACACAAAGCTAGACAAAGCTAGTAGTTTCGTGGGCCCGGTGCGGCTCTGAAGATGCAAACAATATCGGCTATACAAATCGACACCTGTTAGTTCTCTGTATCTCTCTCCTCCTATTTACTTGCTATTTTCTCTCTCTCTGCGCTCTCGCTCTCCTCGAATGGTCTTTTTCTCTGTCCTCGTCAATCTCAATTCCATCGATGGCGGAGCAAGAGCAGAGCTCATCCCAAACCGAGGGGCCGCTGAGGCCATCGAGAGCTGCGGTGTCAGAGATCTGGAGAAGGGTCTGGGTTTATCTCAGACTCACAAGTTCACCCGCAGAGTTGGGGCTTCTGAGGTTTGATCATCGGTTTCTCTATTTCCTTTGATCGTATTTGATTTTTCTGGAGACCCATGTTGTAAAAATCAAATTTTTACATCAACTGAGATCGCAGTTTAGCTTCCCCTAAAAAAGAGTCAATTTTGAGTTGAGTTAAAAAAAAAAATATTAACTGACTCAGTGAGTACATTTGAGGAAAGTACCGAGTCCTTGCTGAGGTTGCCCAGATTGTCATGTGGTCCTTTTTTTTCTGAAAATTGGATTGTAGAAAGTAAGGTTTTAGTTCAGGGACAAGAGAGATTCTAATGAGTTGAAGGTTGTTTTGGCATTTCAAAGATAAATATTTTGCCATTTCAAAGGTCAATGTGCATCCTAACTATGTTTTATTGAAGCTTAGAAAATCGATGGTGAAGGATTTTTGTGGGTGTTAAAGCTCCTTTCTAAAAACAATGAAAGTGGAATTTTTTTCTTGCAGTATTAATGAATTGACAACTATGCATATCCTTGCCTTATTGCGGGGGGTTGGAGTATCCTGAAGGTTACAGATAGTTTTCTTAAGCTCAACTTCAAGGAGAATGATCAGATTAGCAATCATATTGTATACCTTTGGGTGGAAAATATCCAAAGAAGTAGGAAATATTTTTATCATGTGTCAACTGTAGGCTATCTAAAAAATTACTGTAGATAGCTGAATCCTATCAAACACTGATGATGAAAGTTACAACCTGACGACTTTCGCATCACTAATCTAACGATGAAAGTTACAATCAGATGACTTTCACGTTAACAGATAAAGGCTACAATTGAAAGATTTTTACGTAGATCGAGAAATGTTATAATCTGACAACCTTTATGACAACCGATGAAAGCTCTGATCAACAATCTTCACAAACAAAAGCAGGAGTTACAATCTGACGATTCCCCACATTTCAAGGAGCTGAAAAGAAGATTACAAAATGACGATCTTCGCAGCGCTTTAACAAAAGAGACTACAAGTCAAAAGTCTCTTCACCTTAAGACGCAAAGCTCACATTTGCGTCCAAAAAACGAGACGTACAGCTCAAAAGCGGCATCCATAGAGCAAGGCGCAAGGTTCATCGCTGCGTTTCAGCCCCCAAACGAGGAACCTAACTCTGCGTCCCAGACACAGAGTTCACGCCCAGAACGCCATATCAGCGTTTGACTTTTTCAAACACGCCTGAACGGTTTCAGAACCTTTTTTGCACGATTTGAGGGGATCATTCCCCCACCTAGGAGCGAATTAAGGGGGCGGTTACACCTATTAATCCCCTATAAATAACAAAAAACTCAACAGAGTTTAGGCTGAAATTTTCAGATCAGAAAATTGCTTAAAGAGATCGGCACTTGGAGAGCTTTTGAGCATTTAAGCATCGAAGCTGTTCTTGGAGCTATCTTCATTCTTGACTACAAACCGATTTTCGGTTAGATTAAATCAACTCTTTTACAGAGTTTTAACTCGCTCCGAGTTATTAACTCACTAAGAGTTCTATACTTGCCACGCAAGTTCTCCTCAACGACAATTCAAGAGGAAGATACTGTGTTCTACGAGATGAAATGTTCGGATCGTCAACAGGATACAAGGATCTGAACTCTCACGACACCAAGAAGAACCCATATTAGACAAAGGGAAGAGTCTCCATCGATCCCTTCTCTCTTTTGTAAATCGGGAAACCGATTGAGAGGAATTGTAATTTTTTCTAAGTTTGTTAGAGAGGGATTGCATTGAGAGAATTGTAATTCATTCTTTTTCTAAGTCTGTTAGAGAGAATAATACAAATTTAATTCTCCATTTTCTTCTTCAATTTTCCCACCAAACATCAACATATCTTGTTATGAAGAATTTTCACCAATTTCATCCTTTCAACGGCACTTTTGTTTCTTAGTTATCATCAAGCAAGACAAAAATAAATAAATAAATAAAAACTGAAAAAAAAAATACTACTTGAATAAAAAACAAGAAGTTGCTAACCTTTTAATTTACTTTAAATATTTTACTCCAAAAAACTTACTTTCAAACATTTCTTAGTAGCCAACTAAACCCAGTCATGCTCCACCCCAAGCAAAAATCTTACTCAATTGTGCCTTGGTGATTATGATAATACTTTTTTCTACAGTACTGTGATAATATTTCCTTTGAATACATGGGTTCTTAGCTTAAAAGATTAGTTGAGCAAGTTGATCTTTCATGGTCATAAATCTTATTTCATGATACACCAATGACGGATCTAGGAATTTCAGAAAGTGGTGTCACTGCATAATTAATAATTAAAATTTTATCTCAGACGAGTTTTTCATTTTTAAAAACAAAATGTATAATGCATCATTAGTAACAAAATTAGATACATCTTTCTCAATACATGCTAGCAAACACGGAGACAATCATCCCTTTCATAACTTCTACCCATCCTTAATGTATAAGGAAGTCATTGGTAGTAGTGCATACAAAATGCAGTGGAAACACTAAAACACAACAAAACACATGAGACACTAAGATTTACGTGGTTCAGCACTACGACCTAATTCCACTAGTGAGAAGCAGAGGAGAGATTCACAATCACTCAATCAAATTACAGAGTTGAGAATAGATCTTAAAATAATTCTCTAATATCCAAACTATCACTCACTGAAGAACAAGGGTTTCCCCCGGCTCCAATGGAATTTTCATCAAACCCATTGTTTTCTGTCCAATTTTGAAAGTTAAGTGGACCCCACATGTAAGCTTCATCACAAACAAATCTCATATCTCCACTTCTTAATGGGTAATGGAACATATTTATGGACTGTGAGCTGGTTCTAATAGTTGGGCCATGTAAAAGCTAAGACATCCACAATAGAATTCCATGGAGGAAGTGGTGTCACACTGTCACGTTTATCCAAGTCTAGACTCTTGACAATGTTTATGCAAGCTGGTCTGGAATTTGGCAAAATGCTGAATTGGATATTTGTGCTCTGGATTTGTTTGTAATTATCACCTTTTTTGTCACATCTTACATATTGGTTCTAGCTTTTAGACTCACACTTTTGCCTTCTCCTTTCAAGATAATGAATATGCAGCAGTGACATTGACCCATATAATTACTTTTTCAGTAGAGTAATTCTCTAGGCTGTTGCTTCAAATTAGTCTTAAACATCTCAAAGCAATGTCCTTGCAGGAAGGTGTCCTCTTAGTTCCTGGTTACTGCAATAAAATATCATTTCCTTAGTATCAAATGTTGTAGCCTATTAGCTTTCACGATTAGGATGCTTGTAGAATGGGTATGTTTTGTTACAAGAACCTTTTCTTACATTTTGACTTCTATTTTGGTTACTGCAATAATCCTTGGTTACTGCAATAAACTCTCAGTACTTACTATTAAACAGGTATCACGGCCTTTCTTACGTTTTGACCTATATAAAGAATATGAGTTGTATATCTGTAGGATAAAATTTAGTGATTGTAAAATGATACAATGCTGTGTTTCATCCTTCATTGATCAGGTTGTCCAAAGATTGTGAGAAAATTTAACTGGTTTTTGCATTCTACTTTTATATCAAGGCATCTTATGTTTTGGTGGGGAGTTCCGTTGCTCATATATGTTTGTAGTCTTTTGATAGCAATAAGTATATGCTATCTTTTCACTCTTTTAGACAAATTTAGGGAAGTAAATTATTTGCAGGTCCAGTAGTGGAGCCAGAAATTCATAATAGTGGTATCATAATATATATAAAATACAATATTACTATTTTTTCTCTCACTTTCAAGAGAACTTCAATGAGATACAAAAGATATTTAACTTAATACAAATACAATTGACCTCTACACGTCTTTATTTTTTGAAATCGTTGCATAATTGCTCATTCGAAATAACACTAAATACAATATTTTCAATGTAAACTTGTGTATCTTTTTTTCCTCCCCCAAAATTAATGGTGGCTCTTTGATACGCTGTGAATTGAGCCATTTGAGTTAATAGGTCTCAGACTCACTTTGTTTTTTTGGGTTTGACTCATTAAGTTTTAGTGGGTCACTACTCACTACTCAAATGAGTTGGCGGTGTCACTTTTCTTCATAAGGTTACATATTGCTCTTTAATTGTATAATTCAGAGTGGTGTCCCTCGACACAGCCCACTATAGCCTAGCTTTGCCGCTGTGTAGGTTGAGGTGGATAATACCTCTACACTATGAACATTAGGGTAAGGTGGGTAACTACTTCAAGTTGCATTTAAAGCCTTTTGAAGGGAGATCAGTGTTTTTTCTCATTGGCTAATTATGAATAGATAATATTCTTCCTTGGTGCTTGTACTTTTCTTTTCCATAATTCCGTGCTACTATATTTGCATAATTCAAAAGATTATACTGTAGAGCATAAGTAGTATGTCTAGGCTGCATAAAATGTAATAGTGAGAAGTTATTCAAGTTGCTGTAAACTCTGCGGAATTATTAATGTTCTTGTATACCATTATTTGTTTGCAGGTATTTGTGAAGAGGTTAGATCGCTATGGAAAGCTAAACGGTCATAAGGGTTGTGTAAACACGGTACATTTCAACCCTAGTGGTGATCTTCTTGTTTCTGGATCTGATGACAAAGATGTTATTATTTGGGACTGGGCAGCCAAAACCAAGAGTTGCACATTTTCTTCTGGTCATTCTGATAATATCTTCCAAGCCCGAATCATGCCATTCACTGATGATCGAACCATAATAACTTCTGGCGCTGATGGGCAGGTATCCTCTTTTTTGAGAGCTTAGCTCTTAGTTTGGCAGTTGCTGTCTTTGCTCTTTATTGCTTACTGTCTCAAGTTTTTACACTTGGACACACTGATAATTACAGTTACACTTAAGATGTGTCTGAGGTGTCCTAAAAATTACAATTATCTGGTGATTATCGAATATATAACTTGAGATTTGCCTCAAAGACTATTAATTAAGCGAATGTTTAAGTTATGTGTTCACAGTTCAATTTGATTATGAATGCTTTAGCTTTGTTTGCCTTTGACTGTAACTAAAGAGTTTTTTTGTCAAGATGTTTATTGTTTTAGTTTCACATGAAAGATAAACTTGTTCCATGCTAGCTGGTTAATTTTATCTTACAATTATTCTGTCAACTACAAATGTGTATTCTTTGACTCCTATATTGAAATCCAATTCTGTGTATTGGCTTCTTGTTCCTACACAAACATCATGCCCTGCAATTCTTTTTTACCTCAAACTTGTCAGGGATATTTACTGAGATTTCATGATTGCACTTTTTTGCACAATTTACCATAGCATCCTGTGATTGTTTGGGTGTATTATCCATTTTTTTTATGTCACATAGCCGTATCTCACAGCTCATTTATTCAATGGCCATGCAAATGTGCATTCATACAATGAAGCTTCCTATTTCTAGAATTGTCTTAATTTTCTGTTTTCTTAAGACAATTCAAGATGGTTTATTTTATGGCTTTCCCATATCTCAGTTGTAATGAATTTTCTATACTCTTTTCATCAGGTTAGACTTGCTCAAATTTCAGAGAAGGGCAACGTCAGCACCAAAAGGCTCGGCAGTCATCGTGGTCGTGCACACAAGCTTGCCATTGAGCCTGGAAGTCCGTACATATTTTACAGCTGTGGCGAGGATGGCCTCGTGCAGCATGTAGGAAACTCTTACCGGTTCTGTTATGGTTAAATTGCGGATAGACCCCCTGTAGTTATATTGTTGCAGATAGAAACCTCGAGTGATTTTTCCTGCTTATTTTCCCTTATAGAAAGAGAAGATTGTTTTTCGACAAATACACCCCCGAGGGTAAAAGGGTAAAAAAACTTGTCTCAGGGGGTTTATTTGAATTGGGTGATAGTACATGGGATCTATCCACAACAATAGAACTACAAGAGGTCTATCCGCAATTAGGTGATAGTCCAAGGGGTCAATCCGCATTAACCCTTATTTATTGTAGTTTACCTATTCCCAATTAATCACCCAACTTCACACAGTCAAAAACTTTTCGTTGCAGTTCGATTTGCGGCATAGGCCCCCTACGAAGCTCTTCATATGTTCTTCTTTCTCAGAGGATAAAATTCCCGTCCGACTTAATTCAATCATCGTTGACCCAAGAAACCCCAATTATTTTGCTGTAGGAGGATCTGATGAATACGCCCGAGTCTACGACATTAGACGATACCAATCTGATGCTTCCATTGGTTCGGACTTTCCTGTGGACACTTTTGCCCCTCACCACTTAATTGGTTCTGATAATGTGCACATCACTGCATTAGCTTATTCTATCAGAAGTGAGTTGCTCGTCTCCTACAATGATGAACTCATCTACTTATTTGAGAAAGAAATGGGGAGGGGCTCATCTCCTCTTGAGAATTCACAGGAGTTGAGTGAGCCACAAGCTTACTCTGGTCATAGAAATTCTCAAACGGTTAAAGGGGTAAATTTCTTTGGACCCAGTGATGAGTATGTTGTTAGTGGGTCAGATTGTGGTCATGTTTACATATGGAAGAAGGGAGGAGAGCTTGTTAGGATGATGGCGGGTGATAAAAACATTGTGAATTGTGTAGAGCCTCATCCATATTTTCCTTTTCTCGCTACTAGTGGGTTTGATAAAAGTGTAAAGGTTTGGGCTCCTATAGCCAAGAAATTGGCCCCATTGCCAGAAAATGCGGAAGAGGTATGCTGCTATGTCTACCTTGTGTTTTTGGTAAATTTCACTTACTCCTCCTAAACTTTGTGGGGTCTTGCCAATAATCCCCTTGAACTTTGTGGCGTTTTAAGTTACCTAAATATGAAAAATAGCGAAACGTCTAGCCATATAACAAAAGGCCTACTTATTTCATAACTGTGGCCTAGAGGTTGAGATCTAAAACATTTGCTATTCAGTGACTGTTTAAAGTATAGTTCTTCAGCGTGCGTTTGAAGTCGTTCACTTTGTCCAAGAACAATGTAGCTTGGATATGTATGGTGTAATTCCACATTATTGTTTCTGTTTTGGTGACTTGTTAATTGCTTTTTATAAACAGATAATAGCAGCTAATAAGAAGGGCAGAGAAGCTCGTGCAAGGATAACTCTCACTCCTGAGGTGATAATGCATGTACTTAGGCTACAGAGAAGGCAAGGTTTGGCTTACGTCGAGAGGAGACCTACAGCCTCAGATTTTGACAGCGATGGTGATGGCGAAAGAGAAGGGTTCGTTCTAAGATTCGCTGATGGGGATGATGGTTCAGATGAAGGTTCAACCGGTGATCCTCGAGAGTGTAACATTTCTTAGTATTACAATTGTATATGTAGTTTATATATGTTTTAAGGGATTAGCTCAAGAATTAGTTGAAAGTAACATTAAAATAATGGGAGAGAAATCTCAGCATTAACTTGTGGAGTTTTTCATGCTCAACGGATGAACATATGTACAGGTATATACATAAAGTTGAACTCCAAGAAGTCAATTTGTTTTATTGCAGGAATCTAAGTTTTTGTACAAATAGCATACCTGTAGTTATTAATCAGAATGCTGTTCTAACTGCTACTAGGTGAATGATAGTAGCCGATTATGGTTCTAATGATACGATCATCTTGTGAATTGGATGATTAGAGTATTGTGCAAGCGAAAGAACATTATCACGTAGCTTTGCCAGAAAAATAATATTGTTATGATTTTACGGTAAACGGCACAATTTTATTACTGCAAAAGCTTTGTAGGATGCTGCATGGATATGTTAACACTGGTACGAATACGAGATGCTGATGTATGACGAATTTTGAGAGGTGCACATTTTATCTTGTCTTATATTAATGGTACCTGTTGTGCGCTGCTGAAGCCCGAATCGACAAGATCAAAAGCACATACAAGAACAATAGTAGACCACAAACGAACACAAGCAAACCAATCACAGCAAGAACACAAGATATACGTGATTCGGCAATGTGCCTACGTCCACGGGGCAAGGAGATGGGAGTTTCACTAATAGAAATCAAGGGGAATACAAATTAGGGTTACAAATCTTACCACAAACTCACAAACAAGACCACTTGATCTCTCCAATAGACTCTAACAATAGAAGCCCTAGAAATCCCCTTTCAGCAGCTCAAAATCTCCCTTGCTTAACCCTAAAACCAAGTTTAGGGTATATATACAACTCACCAGAAAACGGGTCTGGAAAGCCAACTTAAACCCAAAACCCGATACGCGGTCGACCGCCGCGCCACGCGCGGTCGACCACCAAAAGTCCAGACCACAAC